TTTCTCGCCCCGGAGCTCGCAGGTAGCAATCCGCCACCTCGACCTCCGGGGCGAGAAAGCCCCGTTCGTAAGTGCGGATCCGACATAAGTCGGATCCGCGTAAGTTGGGGACTGCCTGTACTTTGTATTTGTCTTGATTAAATGTCATCCAGCTTACCTCAGACCATTTCTCCAGTTTGTCCAGATCATTTTTAATTATGACCCTATCTTCCAAAGCACTTGCAACCCCTCAGAGATTGGTATTATCTGGAAACTTAATAAGTGTACTCTCTATGTCAATATCTAAATCGTTGATTAAGATATTTAACAGAACTGGAACCAAAACAGGCTCCTGGGCACTCCGCTTGTTATGCCCTTCCAGCATGACTGAACTATTAATAAATAATCTCTGAGAATGGTTATCCAGCCAGTTATGCAGCCATCTTATAGTAGCCCCATCTATGTTGTAATTGCCAAGTTTATTGATAAGGTCATACGAGACTGTATCAAATGCCTTACTAAAGTCTAGGTATACCACATCCACTGCTTCTCTCTTATCCACAAGACCTGTTATCCTATCAAAGAAAGCTATCAGATTGGTTTGGCTTGATTTGTTCTTTACAAATTTGTTCTTTTGCTGGGCAAGTGGAAAACCAACCCTAGAACCAATCACACATGCATGTTTTACAGGGCCTCTCTTCTGCCTGCCCTGTTCTTGTCAGAAAGCAGAGTTCTAAAATGTACAATTATATCTCTCAATTCTTGAGGGAGTAAGAGCTGTAGATATTCCATACAAATTTGAGAGAGCAAATCATGTATTTGCCTTCTGTGCATATGCCAGAGAACAAAGAGCTCTCTGAAAGTTCTGATTTTTAGGCAGCTTTCACAATATGCCTTTTAAGAACAGATGTCAAAGGAGACTGCCACATACAGGATGTCTGCAGTGAATTTATCAGGTCAAGGGCTTCTGCAACATTTTGATTGCAGAGTTTAAGCAGGTCAGTGTAAAGAGTATTGCTTTAAACATCTTCATAAAGCTTATAGAAAGTGGTGATGAGCCAGAAACTTTAATTTCCTGCTCCCTCCTGCCTCTTCTGTTCCTCCAGACATTTGCTGCCTTGGAGAAAATAGTGCCTGGATTAAGATCACTTCAAACATTGTCTTTGCAAATTCAAAAGTCATCCTCTTTGGCTCATTTCTATCAAGAGGGCAAATAAAAAATGGGATCTAAGACTTTGTCTGTAGTAGACATACTCTCTCTGCCCAGGCCAAAGAGATGTGTTTGAATGCCCTGGAGGTCTTCTAAAATTGGTAGATCATCACCCACAGTGAGTGAAATATGCTATTAGTCTAGACACATCTGGGACAGACATGGTTCCCCAATGTCATCAGGAAATATGGAATAAGTTTACATAATTGAAGCTTTGTATAAACAAGGAAATTTTGTGTGTAATTGAGATTGGGAGACGTGACCTTACTTTGAACGACAGGGAATTTGGCGTAACTGAATTTAAAATCATCAGAATATCCCTGCTGAAAATCTTTGTCATTTTCCCCTAGAGACCAGTGCATTTTAACTGTGTAATACTTCATCCTTCCATAAACTGGATATAAATATTAATATTGTAATTGCATCTTCTCCACAGTCTCTCTTGGCTAGTTAAGGAACTTATGTCCGTGTATCTCCTGCTGGCATACAGCAGCATTACGCCACAAGTACACCTTCTCACCAGTCGGGCTGCTGACCTATTGCAGTGAATGCTGTTCACATCACAGCTTTTTGCTACATTCTCCCACTTCCCCTCCCAGATCAATATGACCATATACAAAAATATTTTCCACAGGGTTCATCCTGTCTTAGATTGTATTTTACTAGTAATCTTCTTCTAAAAAATAACCCAGAACATCTCTGTAATTAGGTTTTGGCTACAGTGCCTGAGTCCTTAATCACTCTCGTATTCGGAGACTCAGTATTGCGGACAACAATTTAGAGAGCGAATTGAAGCAGTACGTGCCAAAACCACCATTAGCTAAATGGGGTTATGGACAAATCAGACACACAGGAAGGGCCAAACTATTGCTCATGGAAGAGAGAATGCCTGATGGATGATCAGAGGATTGGGGATTTGGTATCGGAGAGAAAGGGTACTTATCCTCACAGAAAATGTATACTGGTTGGAATAATTTGAGAGTAGGGTTATTACCTTAGGAAATGGAACCCCTCCTCTTGTACTTTAAATAGTATATAGGCTATAAAGCCTACATTTTCAATAGTCTAAGAATTTGGGGTTCATAACATCAAGGCCTCTTACAGGGTCTGAATTTCTGAAAGTGCTAAGCATTTATCTGACCCTTTAACTCCTTAAAAGTATACTTGGGGCATCCAAAAATAACAAGTTAGTTTTGAAGATTTAGGCTTAAAATAGGAAGGTTGTGTGCATCTTGTAACTGTATTTGATACTTAGAATAAGGGTCATTTTTAACACTGGAGTATTTTTACGTCCCCCCTTAACATTCAAATATTGGCTCTAAACTTCACAGGTTTTTTTCTTGTAAGTATCACCAGTATGATCTCTGTGGATCATATTTTTGTTTTTAATTTTAAATCTGTTCTGAAATAAAATTAAATGCAGGGGACTTAATAGCAGTTAATGAAGTGCTCTTTACTCCTTCGCATCATGGGTCACCCAATGAAAGGCAAAGATTTAAAACAAATAAAGTAGTACAGTAAAACTCCAATGGTCCGGCATCCGACGGTCCGGCACCATTAGGAACCCGGAAGTGCTCCGGGAAGCCGGACCATTGGAGCTGCTCTGCCCCCCGCCTCCC